CCCGCCCCCTGGTGGGCTGAGCTGGCCACACACACACACACAAATAAATAAATAAATAAATAAAATTAAAAAAAAATATAGTAGGTATAATTTCTAAGGTCACATACAGCTTTGTGAGGTGTGCCCTGTTTAATTTCAGCTCATGTCATACAAGGAGAGTACAAAGTGAACACAGCTCTCAAAGTTGTAGAACACACAGGAGCACAGGTGTATTTGGCTGTTCTAGAGCTGACATTTCTTTCTTTCTTTCATTTATTTATTTATTTAGTTATTGATACAGGGTCTCCCTACATAGCTCAGACTTGTAATGATCCTCCTGTCTCAGCCTCCCCAGTGCTGGGATTATAGGCATGTGCCACCATGCCTGGTTTCAGTGGCTGGCATGGCGCACCTGGGGTTCCAGGGGTGACAGGTACTTAGATGCCAAGGGTCCTTGCGCTTGCCAGGCAGGTACATAGAGCTATCTCCCCAGCCCTAGAGCTGACATTTCTTGGTCAGGCCTTTCTGGGTGTGCTTCCTGTAAAATAAGAAAGTGAACCTTCTAATGACAAGTACTTTTGCATGTACTTGTCCAAATTCTTTTTTTTTTTTTTTTTATTTATTTATGTGTGTGTGTGTGTGTGTGTGTGTGTGTGTGTGTGTGTGTGTGGCTAGCTCAGCCCACTGGGGGTTGGCTGACATGTGGTGCTGGGGGATTGAACTGCGGTCCCTGTGCTTTGCTAAGCTTGTTTTTTAAGTAGGTGCTTTAGACCACTGAGCCATCTCACCAGCCCCTGTCCAAATTCTTGTGTTCAGCCAAAATTAAGCAAGACTTTTGCAGTGCTTAAGTTTATATGATTTGGGGCTCAGTAGAAGAGCATTTGGCCAATATATATGAGCAGACAAGGGCTTGACTCCCAATGAGAGAGAGAGAGAGAGAGAGAGAGAGAGAGAGAGGAAGAAGAAGGAGGAGGAGGAGGAGGAGGAGAGGAGGAGGAGGAGGAGAAGGAGGAGAAGGAGGAGAAGGAGGAGGAGAGGGAGGGAAGGAGGGAGGAGAGAATATGCTTCTAATGAAATTGCTCCATTCATCCAATTGTTTCATTTTTGTTTGTTGAAGTACTGGGGATTGAACTCAGGACCTTGCTGCATGTTAATCACTGAGCTATATCCCTAGTCCCTTTTAAATTTTTGGGACAGAGTCTGACTATGTTGCCTAGGCTTGGCTCAAACTTGCTGTCCTCCTGCCTCAGCCTTCTAAGTAGCTGGGTTATAAGCATTTGGACCATGCTACTCAAATTGAAATAACTTTTGATAAATTTTTACTTTTAATTTAACCAGTTGTTTTCTTACACATAATAGTAGTCATAATGTTGGTTTTGAAGTTTAAAAACACTCAAGAACATATAACTTTTTTTTAATTTTAGGACAAGGTGTAAAGGGTCTCATTGCATAGATTGGACTTGTAGTGATTCTCCTGTTTACAACCTTCCAAGTGCTGGGATTACAGACGCATGCCACCATGCCCAGTCTCCATCACTGTCTCAGCACGCCCCAGTGGCCTGGCACGGCAGATCTGGGGATCAAACTCCTGGCCCCTGCATCTGTCTAAGCAGGTACTTTAATCCACTGAGCTATTTGGCCGGCCCAAGAACATATAGCATTTCATATTTAATTTATGTTCAGTTTTGTTACAGAGGATGAGGTGATGAATACAAGATTTTCTTTTTCTTTCTTTCTTTTTTTTTTCTTGCAGTATCAGGGATTGAACTCAGGACTCTGCACTTGCCAGGCAAGCACTTACTCTACTGAGCTATCTCCCCAGGCCCAAGATTTTCTTTTTTTTTTTTTTCTTTAAATTTTATTTATGTGTGTGTGTGTGTGTGTGTGTGTGTGTGTGTGTGTGGCCAGCTCAGCCCCCCAGGGGGCGCGGCTGGCTGGCATGTGGTGCTGGGGGATTGAACCACGGTCCCTGTGCTTTGCTAAGCTTGTTCTAAGTAGGTGCTTTAGACCACTGAGCCATCTCTCCAGCCCCCCAAGATTTTCAAATATAAAAAAATACAATCCTTTCTTTTAAAATTTGTATGATTTTTAGTTACCACAGTTTAAATAACAGTATGTATGATTTTTAGTTACCACAGTTTAAATAACACCAGTCCTCTAAGAATAGGTTCCTAGGCTGTTCCTAGGCTGTTCCTGTATACAGTAATCCTGAGCAATCACACAAAACGTACATTTCTCTAAAGGCTCTTCTCTCTGTAAATTGCATGCGAATAACGGACGACCATCACATCAGTGATCAATCAGATATCTTCTTTCAATTCTGCCAGAGACTGGCCACTGGGTTTGGTTTTTTGTTCACAAAGAGAAGGCAAAACTTTCCTTGCCTTACTACCTTGTCTACCAATGACAGTTCATTGCAGTGTTTTACAAAAACAGATCATTGAAAGAGGGTTGGCAACCTTTGTTCACAAGTCTGCAAGTGTAGCAAAAAAAATTAAAAAAAGACAATGCTTCAAATGAAATTAGAATCTTGCTATCTGAGCAGCACCATGGCAGTAGGCAAGAACAAGCGCCTTATGAAACACAGCAAAAAAGGAGCCAAGAAGAAAGTGGTTGATCCATTTTCTAAAAATGACTGGTATGATGTGAACGCCGGCTATGTTCAACATAAGAAATATTGGAAAAACACTCGTCACCAGAATTCAAGGAACCAAAATTGCATCTGAAGGGCTCAAAGGTCGTGTGTTGAAGTGAGCCTTGCTGATCTGCAGAATGATGAACTTGTCTGTAGAAAATTCAAGCTAATTACTGAAGATGTTCAGGGCAAAAACTACCTGACTAACTTCCATGGCATGGACCTCACGTGTGACAAAATGGTCAAAAAATGGCAGGCCATGATCGAAGCTCATGTGGATGTCAAGACTACCGATGGTTATTTGCTTCGACTGTTCTGTGTTGGCTTTACTAAAAAATGCAACAATCAGATACGGAAGACCTCTTAAGCTCAGCACCAACAGGTCCGCCAGATCCGGAAGAAGATGATGGAAATCATGACCCGGGAGGTGCAGACAAATGACTTGAAGGAAGTGGTCAATTAAACTGATTCCAGTTTAAAGACATAGAAAAGGCTTGCTAATCTATCTACCCTCTTCATGATGTCTTCATCAGAAAAGTAAAAATGCTGAAGAAGCCCAAGTTTGAGTCGGAAAAACTCATGGAGCTTCATGGTGCAGGTAGTAGCTCTAGAAAGGCTACTGGGGATGAGAATGGAGTTAATATTGAATGAGCTGATGGATATGAGCCACCAGTCCAAGAATCTGTTTAAGATCCAGATTTTTAGGGGCCGGGGAGATGGCTCAGTAGAATAAGTGCTTCCCTGACAAGTGCAAGGGCCTGAGTTCAATCCCCAGTTCTGCAAAAAAAAAAAAAAAAAAAAAAAAAAAAAAATCCAGACTTTTAATAGTGATAAATAAAGTCCTATCTGTGGAAAAAAAAATAAATGAAATTAGAATCTTATTTTTATTTTACTTTGTTTTCTATATTAGATTTTATTGTACATTTCAGATATGAATAAAGCTCACACTCCTCCTAGAGGATCTGTGTCTATACATGATGTAACTTGGTTTTTTCCTTGGTCTTCCACCCTCCCTTGCACTCCTCCTCTCCCTATTTACAAGGCTTTGTTTCCATGTTTTCCCGCTTTTCTCATTTTTTTCCTTCTCCCTTCGTTCCCTTCCCTCTTCACCCTCTCTTGTTCTCTTCCCCATTAGAATCAAACATAGAGATGATGAAGGAGAAACATCTGGCCTGCGACGCTGCCACCACTGAATCTACTGAACACGCGCAGCAGCTGGGAGCTCAGTGCAGGGATGTGCTGTGACAGGCCGGGAGAGAGACTCCAATAGAGGGACCTCAGAGGAAGCCATGCTGGCTGAGGACTTCATGGGGGAGGAATTCTCGAGACGGTTAGCAGTGCTGCGGGTGCTCCAAGAGCGTGCTGGGGGCTCATCCAATCTCAGAAGTTTCACATCTCACCCGGGGCTTCACCCTCAGCCCAAACCTCTCTAGGTAAGGGTGTTTTTTGGTTTTTTTTTAACAAGGGAAACACTTAAATTCTTAATGTTGCTAATGTTTTATTGTACTATACTAATAGATATTGGGAAATAGGAAGAAAATATTCACACAGGAAGGGAAGAGGAAAGGAAGGAAAAAGTAAAAAAAGAGAGAGAGAGAGAGAGAGAGAGAGAGAGAGAGAGAGAGAGAGGCTTGGGTAAACGAAAGTAACCGCAGAGGACCACGGTTTGATTCCCAGCTCCAGAAGCTGTACTGCACCTGCCCTTAAGGCAGCTGAAGTAGCCTAAATAAATAAATAAAAACCTTATTCTCAAATTTTCCTTTCTGTCGGACATCTTGACGGGCCTGCAGTGGTAGCCGCTACTATCCAGGCTCCACGATGTCATCCAAAGACGACAAGAAGAGAGATGTCGGAAAGTCGGCCAATAACGACCAAGACCCAGTGAACAAATCTGGGGGCAAGGCCAAAAAGAAGAAGTGGTCCAAAGGCAAAGTTCAGGCCAAGCTCAACAACTTGGTTCAGTTTGATAAAGCTACTTAGGACAAACTCTGCAAGGAAGTTCCCAACTATAAACTTACAACACCTGCTATGGTCTCTGAGCGACTGAAGCTCGGTGGGTCACTGGGCTGAGCGGCCCTTCTGGAGCTCATTAGTAAAGGGCTTACCAAGCTGGTCTCAGCACAGAGCTCAAGTTATTTATACCAGAAACACCAAGGATGGAGATGCCCCTGCCGCTGGTGAATAGGCTCAACCAGGTGTACATTTGGAAAAAATAAAACTATATTATTAAATGAAAAAAACGAGAAAAGGAAAATATGGAAACAAAGTTTTAGAAATAAGGGGGATAGGGCATGAAGGAAAGAGGAAAATGGGAAAAAAAGAACCAAGTTTTATCATGGACAGATACAAAGTCCCTATGATTAATTCAATCATTATGTACACCTAAAAATGTACACATAAACTTAAAAATGTACTATACTAAGGAAATATTAATCTTAGTATGGTTTAATTTACCTATACATTAATTTTTTGAGACAGAGTCTCACTTTTCTTTCTTTCTTT